GAGACTCGCTTGAGCCCAGGAGTTGGAGGTTGCTGTGAGCTGTAATGCCATGGTACTCTGCCCAGGGGGACAGCTTGAGGCTCTGTCTCAAAAAAAAAAAAAAAAAAAAGAATTTATTCTAAATATGTGGGTCCCTCTGAAAGTTTTGAGGTACACAAAAATCAAGAAAGATAAAATCCATGTGGATGAAAACACATAAAGCCCTCCCAGCAACACCAATAAGCTGAGCAAGTTGAAACTTGCATAGGTGAATCACAGAGGATGCTGTCAACTATGTTTCTGGGAGGTGAAAAAATGAACCATAACACAGTCTGTCTCAAAGCTTTCATAATGACTCACATATATACACAAATATGTATGAAATACTTCCTTATAGGTAATTAAATTTCTCTTTATTTCTAATACTAAATGTCTGCCCAGAAGGGTCTAATGGTATAGGATTATAAACACACTGTAATACTATGAAGCCAAAAAAAGAGAAATCTCTATATGTATGTATTGATTTGGGCTATCTTTAAGATGTCTAATGCTGAGAACCAAGCAATATGCCAAAAAAAAATGTCTATCTCATGCTTATACAACTGATAGAGGTATGTGCATTATGTATCTTTGGAAGTATAATCTAGCTAAAAACCTGGTAACCATGTGTTTGACTCTGGGGAAAGGTGAATTGGGTGCTAGAAAGAGAAAAAAGATAGCTTTTGCTTTTTCTGACTCTTGGTCTCTGTACCATGAAATAATTTTGATATGATTTTGCCATGTGTGTGTTTTTTTAACTTGTTGATGTAAAGGCTTTATGAATTACTTTCTTAGTTTTCTACCAACCTGTCTTCTGGGATAAACCCCTCATGATCACAGTGAGTAATGACATGTGGGGAATGGGGAGGGTAAGATTCGAAAAATACAGAAAATATAACAGCAATAAGTGTTTGCCATATGGGTTTTATAAATGTTACATTTTAAAATATTTGCTATAAGCTTTTAAAAAAAATAAAAGAAAATGCTGCAGCTGAATTTGAATTCTTTCTTTTCTTTCACATTCAATTTCTCTCCCCTTCCTCTAGGAGCAATAACTATCATGATCTTGGTGGGTATCGTTTCAGGCTATTGGTTAGCAGTTTACACACACACACACACACACACACACGGTGGCATCAGAGTACACCAACTGTCATCAGGAGTGGCAGGAGTGGCACAGGATGAAGTGAAGGAAGAGGGCCTGCCAAATGTAGGAATCTAGTTTCTTTCTTTCTTTCTTTCTTTTATTTTTTTTTGAGACGGTGTCTCACTATGTCACCCTGGGTAATGTGGTATCACAGTTCACAGCAACCTCAAACTCTTGGGCTTAAATGATTCTCTTGCCTCTGCCTCCCAA